CGGGCCACCACAAACTCCTCACAGAGCCGGCGGGATGCAGACAGCGAGCGGAACCAGCGGGATCCCTTCCCGGAGAGGGAGGGAGCACACGGATGGCAATCTCCTGTCTGTGCATTTAAACGGAGGGCACAGTTCTGAAAACATTCTTTCAGCCGTTTTCTCTTTCCTATGTACAAGACTTCATACATATTTATAGTGACATATAGATAAGCACAATCCCTTATTTACACACAGACCTGTCCTGTACAATTGGCTTTGTACGTAAAACCCCCAGGATCAAGGAAGTTAATGGGAAAACAGAACCGGTATTTGAGACACACGGACACACCGGGCAAGAGCACATCCCCAATGAAGAGCCATGAGATGGACTCAAGCCCCTTCCTAACGTGCCCTTTGTCACCTCAGCCACCACCTGCAGGGCTTCCTGCAGTGAATACAGTATTTTAAGACATGAAGTATTTCAGTGGAACTCAAAATGAACTCGTTTAGGCATGAAATGCAGAAGCAAAAATGCAGCTCATCCCAGAATGCCAGCACTGGCATTGGTATCTGGTAGAATCGGAGCTTGTTAAATCAATTCCATGATAGAATTGTATGCTGATATCAACATCCACAACCTTGGCCTTAAAACGTTGCATCCCTCTGGTTCAAATGCCACACTTCTCTGACCAAATCCCTTCCTTGTGTTTCTGCAGCTGAGCTCCCAGTGCTGGGTTAAAACACTGTCGATGTACAAGGGCAGGAAGAGGTTGAAGAATTTCAGTATCCAGGGGTTTTCTTCATAGCTTTACAAACTCCAGCAGCGCAGGTACCTACAGAATAAAATAAACACAAGGTTTAACCACAGCTGCGGTCCTCTCCTCCACATGGGATTTTTAATCCCAAAATCTGCAGCATTTCCATTCCATGGGCTGTGCTGGGTTGTGTTAAGCAGCTCTCAGTTAAGTCTGAGTTGGAGTAGGCTTAGCCAGTTACTGTTTTTTTCCCTAAAAAACAAGAGATAATTTATTAAATGTTAAATGTACTGTTTTCTCCAGGCTGTGCCGCACATCAAATAATTCATTTGCCTTAAGCAGTACTCCCCTAACAGCTTTGGGTAACACTCAGAATACGGTGATGGTCGTGAGGAATTTAAAATTTGCCTCATCTGACAAACTCTGAGAGGACGAGTTAATAACCAGGGAGCCAAGTTCCCCCTCCCCAGGGGAAGACAGGCACGAAGGAAGGAAGGAAGGAAGGACGTGGTGCCTGCTGGTGCTGCTGCAGCCGCCCTGACCCTCCCGTGCCCCCTCCTTGGCACCGTGTCCCTGCTCCCATGTCCCACCCAGCCGGACGGGGAATGCCTGGGGAAGGAACACACGTGGGAAGAGAACAGCCCTGCCAGCGGCCAGAGAGGAGAGAATCCCC